TTTATAATAAACTTATTAATAATTCTATTAAATTTTTTTTTACAATTTTGATAAAAAGTAAGCTAATGCAATTATTATTAAAATCGCTATCAAGCAATACATTAAATTTTAACAAAACAAAATTTTACCTTTAATTTCGAATTTCCCTTTTATAATTTTTTTTTATTGTCTATGATCGTAAATTTTTAGTTAGTTTTTATTTGTCGTTATGTCGTAAAAAAATTTCTTTTACTAGAAGAGAACGGCACCATTTTTTAACAACTTTGTTGATATAGACTAATACATTTATACTTACTTAATTAGAATCAGACATTGGTACACAATACGGGTTTTTTATTCTTTTTTAATTTTATATTTCAATTTTTCAAACAAATTAATAATTATTATCTTTTAAAAACAAAGCGGGCATAATTTTATACTAGAACACAAAAAAAATGCACAATTTTCTTTAAAGGTGTTTTTATATGAAAAAAATATTGATGATTTTCATTTTCTTCTTTTTCACATATAAAATAAAAAATATCCTTGAAAACATTGCACATAAAAATCAATTAACCTAGATTAAATATATATAAATATCAACAAAATTAAGTAAGTTTTATAATGTTACAAGACTTTCGTCTTTTTTTAAAAAATTTTACTCAAATCCAGTCGTTTAACAAGTTTGGACTATCGTGGCTTTTAGTATTTGGTTTCACGAAAGATAAGGATTCATATTCAAAACAAACGAGGCTTGTGAGTTATTCGAAGTCAACAATATCAAATTATTATCAGTTAAGCGATGCCACGGTTTTTTCATATATAATGGGGGTCCCCGCCGACCATACAAAGTTATTAACTGATTGATTCTATAATAGAGTTAAGCTAAATTACTCTTAACAGTTTTCAACGATAAGCCGGGCTGATATGTAATTTCTCGGTGCAAACTCCAATTGAATGCAGCTGTCTCAAAATCATTTCAGCTCATGGAGGCCCTTTTCCGTTATATAAGCCGATAAAAGTTGAATTAGACAGACTCGTTGCTGCTGAGATTTCGCTAATTTATCTTATAAAATCTAGAGTTCAATGGGACACTTTAATTTGTAATTTTCGGAAAAAAACATTATATATTAAAAAATTGATCAAATTTTTTTTCAATTCCTGCAATAAATGTATCTAAAGACCTTAGATAAAATTTATGGGGATAACACAATTAATTGTATTTCCCAACCCCCCTTAGCAAAATATTGGCTGCGCATAAAGAATACTTTCCCATTTGCTGACTAACAATTATCGTTTTCCGGATGAGGTTTAAAAAAATTCCCAACGACTCGTTTGTATTTAGATAGTATAAATGTCTCGTTCAGAAATGATGCGAAATATCTAGTCAACCTAATAAAGATTTGTACCTCGTAAAGATCATAAGCCTCTGGAGCGATTGTTTGGGAAAAGAGGGATTTCTCAATAAATCAAACAATGCTTAACACGTTGGACCTGTAAAATAAACCCTTAAGCATAGAATACAGACCAAGTTGAAGGAATCTTAAAGCTAATGCTTTATATAGATTACCATAACATAAATCGAACCGAATTGCGACATAAATCATGCTTTGGAAATTTTAGCACTAGTTTAGTGGATATACAGGTATAGAAGAAAAATCATTTCATGAATTCAACCTATTTGATATTGACATGAGTTTCGCAACATATTCAACAAGATTGGAGAATAATCGAAATAATGAATATGATTTGAGTAGTTTCCATACTGATAAAGCGGAGAGGAGCTGATAGCAGAAAGAGGAATCGTCGAATAGAATGGTATTCGCCAAACTGAAAAATACTTATGCTGGAACTATATAGTGGACATCCCTGGATGAATGGTTGAAATTATATATTGTTGATGAGCTAATGCGATGATGTTATCCAGCAACATGTACGGAATTGCATTCGATATCAGAAAATAATTGACTAGATATTTTAGAGTACCATTATATTTAATTCATGGAATATTACCAAAGAGTCACTAAAATGTACACATATAGATTTCGTAGGATAGTTACTAAATTAGTTGATAGGATTTCCGATAAGGAAATAATATCGGTTAAAAATTTGGATTGCTAACTTTTCGGGACCTAAATGCATTGTGTCAGATAATAGACCTCAATTTATTTTAACATGGCTTCAGCGATATTGTGAGGCCAGCAATATTTATCATATTAGTTCAACGCACTAATACCCTAAGATGAAAGAGCAGGCAGTGCGAATAAATTGATCACAAAGTAGAAATACGGGAATCAATCAATGCTCACAAGGAATTGTGATGAAGGTATTAACAGTTTATAGCTTGGAAAACATTGCTAGACAGGTAGGTCCCCAGCCACGATTGTGTTTGATCAAATGAAATGCGATTGAAATTTAACGACAAATTAAGCGGGAACATGATCATTCCAGAGATTAACATTTGTTAACCTGTATGTTTATGAGATGAAACCACAATAGGCTGAAAAGAAGTAATACTCCTTGATCGAATGAGGTATATATACTGTAGCCCCAAAAGGGATTATGTAAAAACATGGCTGTTATAGCAGATAAATTGGGCTAGCAATGAAAGACGGTGAGGGTCAAACCTGCCAATATAACCAGGATAGGTGGACAAATCTGACGAGACACATAAACATTCGGCGGTACATTCAACCCATGCTTATAATCGAATATATGTAGATGTTCTCATTTAAGAAAGGGTAAATGTAATAAAGTATAATATATATAATTTCATTATTATAAATATATAATTTTAATGTCAATATACATTAAAATCTATATTAATTATTATTAAGGTTAAATATGTGTTAATCCGAATTTATAATATATATTATTGTTATATACTTCTTATCCATAAAATAAAATGTATCCTGATGTCATAAATTAAATTATAATCAGATTTATTTTTGAATAAATGAAAAAATTCCCTTGTTTAAATGAAAAATATATTGAAAAAGGGAGTACTCGGGGCATGTATCCGGGCCTCTCCTCTAAGATATTCTGAGTCGATTTGGAAATTTTAAGGCTCTGCTACACCAATGATAAATAGCATTTAAACCCAGAGTGGGGCATTTGACTGGTAAAATATATTTTATCCATTGACCGATATTTGAAATCTTGAATATGTTCAATTTAAATTTTCATTTTTATGAATACATTAACTCTATTTGGTATAATAAATTTAGTTAAAAATTACTTAGTGGCTTCTCATTTTTTCCTATTTCATGTTAAAACTCAATGAAATTTATATCTTAATTTAGATTGACTATTCATTTATTAAAATGCCTTAAAAAGTGCACATATGTATACATAGGGGAGACTGGGGTTAGTCGAACCAATTTTTACAAAATTGGCTATAGCTCTTGTTGTTGTATAGATAATATAAAAAATAATATATGATTGGATACCTAAAACTATACTCTATAAAGGTGCCTTATAAAAATAAGAATATAGTCATTTTTTTTTAATTTTATTTTTTGTAAAAGTGAAAATTTTGTTCAACATTCCCCAATAGCGGGGTGAGGCAAACCACTTCAAGGGGCTTCCTGAACCATTGGTTTTTTAGGCCATAATAAATTGAAATGCATTTTTATTTATTAATAATGATATGTTTAGAATAATTTTATTGTTTTATTATTCAAAATATTATAATACTTATAAACTGAAGCTAATTATATATAAAAATTGAAACTTAATTTTGACTAATTTAATAAACATTTTTGACATAATATGAATTTTAAGGAGAGATTAAGATTTTTTAGCATAAATCCTAAATACCAATCATAAACAATCATGAAATTGCCTTTTCAAGATTTTGAAATTTTTTTCATTACTAACTGCCATAAAAGACGTGTATGGTGTAGCAAACCCCGCAAGCTCTAAATTGACAAATCATGATTGAAATAATATCTAGATTTGATAAATACTCATAAAACTTACCCAAATTTTAGTAGAATGTTTTAACTTTGCAATAAAATTTAATTAACATATAAATGATTATATATTTTAATAAAAATTAAAATTCTGTCATGTAAAAATCTTTTGAAAATTTCATCAAAATTTTATTTCTTAAATAAAATTTTTAGTAATTAATTATTTCAAAATTTTGTCCATAGATGTATACTAATGAAAACTATATTAGGATAAAATTTTAACCTTCTGGTGTATTTAATTTTAGAATGAGATTAAGTGATTTGCCAAGCCCCGGGGTTTACCTAACCCCAGTCTCCCCCACCTACAAGTCCGCAATCAAAGGCGTCTTAGACAGCCCATGGCATTGATTACAGTTGATTTCAAAATGTGTACACTTTTAATAAATTGTCAGTCTAGGATAATATTTAATGTCATTATTATATCTTATTTAAGAATTCAAAAAGTGAACCTTAAAAATCAGAACAGAAGGAAAATATATATTAATTACTATGTTAATAGACTCTACATAGGACATAAGAGAGATAAATTGAGCGAATAATTGAAAAAGAGATCTTATAAGAAACAAAAGTACTTACGGTAGCTCGTGATCCAAAGAAGTCATAGAACACCAGGATGTCTTAATGTATGAAAAAAATACAGATGAAAAGATAATGTTAAGTTTATCGATTAATACAAATAATTAGTTGTAAATCAATTAGTTTAATATTTAATTCATAATTAAATGACAATATATATATTAATTGTGAGGATTTCGCTATTTAAATGATAAAATTATCCTATAACTAGATTCGATATGAACATAAAAAAAAATTATGCATAAAACGTCATAAGATTTATTATTAGATTCAATTCTTTAAAATGTAATAATTATAAGACAAATTGTTGATATCATAAAATATTTTTATAATTCCTTACTCATTGTTTAATAATCATCCAATTTAGCAAATTAGTTTTATCATTATAGTTACATTTTAATGATTTACTACAAACTTCGCTCTCATTTTATAAAGAAAAAATATTAAGCGTGGGGAAAAAACTTTAATATCATGCCACCACTACCTGCTTGGCAACCAAATTTTGGCTACGCATCCCCAATGCAAAGTATGCCTATGCCGATGGGTCCATCATACCCGGGAATGGGACCACCTATATATTCTCAACCTTTTGAATTCAACCCAGCCCAACAGATGATGGGATCACAAGGATATTCTCAACCGCAATTTGATTTTAACCAACCTCAACAGATGATGGGGCCACCTATGTATTCTCAGCAAAATTTTGGTAACTATCAATCAAATATAGAGCCAATATTCTTACCACGTTTTGATGTACCTCCCGGTGGTGTACCATCAATGATGGGATCACCTCATATACAACCAATGATGGGAGCGCCTAGTATGCCTCCAATGATGGGAGCGCCTTATATGCCTCCAATGATGGGGGCACCTAATATGCCTCCAATGATGGGGGCACCTAATATGCCTCCAATGATGGGAGCACCTTATATGCCTCCAATGATGGGAGCGCCTTATATGCCTCCAATGATGGGAGTGCCGCAGATGATGGGTGGGCAATTCTGATGAATATATCATAGGAAATCAGAATTATTATTTGATCACAAAAAATATAAAGTTTATTTAATGATTTTTTATATTAAAAAGATTTGTTACAATCAATTTGTTATTCGTAAAAATATGTCATTATTTGTATATAATATTATGATTTTACTATACTTTTAAAAATTAAGTGTATTTTTTCAAAAAATAAGGATTGGTATATAGTAAATTTTAAAAGATAGCTTTTCGTTATTTCCGTGAGGCGTTACCAATCTAAAACTCATAAATTATTATTGTAAATTAAGAGGGGGCGAGATGTCTTTTCTCGCTTTTTATTAAAATTAAAGGGGTGTGTCTTAACCAAGAATATAAAATTTTAATTATCAAAACTGGAAAATCAAATCTATTCTTGCTATAAAAAATTTTAAAAAATTCATAATAAAGTTTTATAATTATTTATAATATTTAAAAGTAGATTATTATATTTAAAAGTAGATTATTATTTTTAAAACAAAATAATCATTAACAAAACAAAGAATAATTAAAAATTAAACAAAAAAATTATTTGAACAGTTTTGCTTGACATGAAATGGACATTAATCTTATTTACTTTAGGCAATCTAAAAATTATTTGGCAGTATTTTAAATTTTTGACATCTGATTAATTCATTTCCAAGTTTTTTTTTATAGACTTGGGAATTATTAAAAATAAATAGACAGTATAACAAAAATTTTGATTGAGCTTTGAATTTTTGTCAAGTTATTAAATATTTTATGTACTACAAAATAATTCACTTTCAAAATAGTCAACGTATTTCTAAAACATAGCATATTAATAAATTTACATAATAAAATATTATTACACTGGAAAATAATTTATGATATCAATCTCTAAATAAAATTGAAGTCCAGGAAGAAAATTGAAAGAAAAACGCGAAGATAAAATAAATAATTCCACAAAAAAAGTTAATATAATTTTAAAAAATTTATATTGTTTTTTAAAAAAATATTTTTATTTTTTAAATTTTTATGACACCTAGAACTCTTGGACCCTCCACTTTTAAAAAGGGTCCGGGTTCAGGTTCAGCCAAAATAGAAGGGTTTAGGGTTCGGGTTCACATCCTTGATAGAAATTAATAATTATAATTTATTTAATTTAATAAAATTACATTCAAAATAATTAGAACAAGTAAATAGAAATCGATAATATTTATTTTTATATTTTAAAAAATTATTAATCATATTTTAGACAAGGTTATGGTTAGGTTAGGGTTAAGGTGGGTAACCGAATATCAATATTATTACCTTCATTAATGTTTTTTGGTGAGTAATTCCCAAGGTCTAGTGTTTTAAAATTATTTTACATTATTAATTATAAGAAAAACAATATATATCCATTGTGGTATATAAAATTAAGTTTTCTGTACTAAATATTTTGAATATAATTTATGCATTAAAAGATTTAAAGATTTATTCAGTAGCCCCTGCACTTTCTGAATGGAAGCAGAATACCTCACTGAAAACACCCTCCTACCAAAAAAACAGTGAATTATTTTTTGACACCCTTTCGGCAGTACTCGAGGTAGTAGGAATAGTTAATAAATATTTATATAAATTAATAAATTAAGGAAAACATAAAAATTAGAGTATTTTTTTCTATCAGGTAACATGTACAATGATCGCTGAAAGATGAGTAGCGTTATGGCTAAGATATAAAGGCATAAATATCAGAAGTATCCATTTGTTTCTATAAATGTTAGTAATTCTTGAGATAATTGATTCATGTTCATTTCCCTAGGAACGCATCTTGATCTGAATTTGGAATTTTTGTAATAAGATGGCCAAAAGTGGGCAAAGTTCTAATAAATATTTTTTATTATATATGTGTTAGCACCAATATGATTTTTCCGGCAACGTATTCCATCATGTTTGAAATTGTACAATTTCGCCATGAAATTTTGAAACTTAAATATAATTTAAAGATTATTTTTTTTTATACATAAATAATAAATGAATGAAAGGTTAACGACAAAATTATCTACAATTCATAAAAATAGGAATTCTAAACATGCTGGATAAACACTTCCGGCAAAATCTGAATCTTATATATATATATATATATATATATAAAATCGAATTTCAAAAATTAATTTAAAGTAGAAAAATTCAACACGTTGACGCTAACCGGGACTAACAAAAAAAAAGCCATATATTAAAAAAAAATTATATAAACACAAATCAAAATAAATCTCAAAAAAAAATGATTATTATTTATAAAAAATAATAATAATAAAACCAATTTAAAATAATATTACTCACATCACAAATATTTAACATCCCCTTTTCCCTTCCAATTTCTTTTTTGCCACAGAAAAAAAGAAAATTCTAAGAACCAGGGACCTGAAATTCCCGGAAAAAATCCTTAAACAAATTTAAGAATGTACCCGAAATCATAAACCCACTTTTTTTTAAATGTTAGGAAACGGAAACTAGAACTGGTACCAAAAATATACAGAACGTTTAGGTTTTACAAAAATCTTATTTTGATCCAAATTTACCCCGTTATTACAAATCCCCCCCCTTTCTTCTAATCTACCTCTTTTTGCCGAAAATTTTGATAAACTTTTCAAAAAAAAGATTTTATTTTAAGGAAAGAGTTTTTCTTAGAATCCTCAAAGAAGTTTTTTTTTTATTTCGATCAAATTTTACCTAATTTCGAAATTTATATTTTTTTTTCTAGAAAAAAATCTTTTATAAATAAATTATTTGTAATTTTTATTCAAAAAAAATCATGTTTTATATATATAAAACATAATATTTGATATTCAAAAATTTGACAGAAAAGGAAAAGATACTAATACATAAATTAATATTTTTGGCTTTCACCCTTTCAGGTTCGGAACATGCGCCGACCTCAAAAAATAAAGAAATCTCGCTATCATATTAATTTCAAGTAATTGGTTGATAGGATGCTAACTTTTCTATTAAATATAATTTCTTATATTTTTTACAAATGACCAATAAAATAAATTGTAAATAATTTTATTTAAATTAAATAATTAATCATTTATAACGATATAAAATTAAATTATTTTCCTTTTTTTTTTTAAATAAATTAAAATTATGTTTATTTTGTTCAATTCTTTCTTTCATTTCATTTCTTTTATTTTCTCTCTTCTTTTTGAATCTTTTGGAACTTTTACGAATCCCGATACCTGTTCGATCAAGTTATAATAAAATTTTATACAGTTATGATAATCGGCCACCGAAATTCTCTCATTGACACCGTGCACTCTTGATATATCATCTACGGTCACTGTTAGAGGCGAGAATCTGTATATGTTATCCACGATTCCGGAAAAATGCTTGGAGTCTGTGCTCCCCATAAAAATCGCTAATTATAAAATAATAATATATAACTATACTAAGGAAATATATAATATATATAAGATTTTATTTCTATTCGAAGAGGTAGTGTGAATTATCGATGGACAAATATAAAAAATAACGACAATTAAAAGAGGTAGTAGCCAATGCCTGGCATCGCATTCAATAAAAAGCATTATGCGCTCATCAACATTGAAAAAGCAATAAGACGTAATAACACTTTCAATGGTTTACAACAATTAATTCCATTGAATACATCTTATCTCGATGTGTGTAAAGAAAAACCTGCGTGTGTAGATTGGTTTACTATTTATTCAAACCCTAATAAATTCAATAACATTAAACAAATCTGAAATAATTAAAACATATTCTGATCATTCCTCAAAGAATAAGTTATTTGAAATAGATTGATGTAATTATTGATCCAGTAAAAGGTGATAGTTGTTCCCCCGGAAGAGATTAGGGTCCTAATATAAAAACTCTCCTGTATCAAACGTGCCACAGTTTTCTCTACACTTTTAATAAAATGAATCGCACGTCTACGTTAGTATATTGATGGCGGCATATTGAGTTGAATTACAAAAAATAATATTATTTTATGATAACCTGGTACTACTATAGTTTCATTGAATATTCCCAAGATAGTCGCTTCGATCATTTTGAAAGCATTGGTATCGTAATCGGAAATAGGGCTATGTATAGGAACTTCATCTGGAATTATTTTCACCCTTGAATCATCTATTATTTGACCATCGAATTCTAAACTCTTTTTTTTTATATAAGAGTTAAAATTAAATTTAAAACAAATATAAGAAAAATATATTTAATCATAAATAATTAATTTAGACTAAATACATAATTATTAGATATTCCTAGCCCCATACTTTCTAGGAAAATTTGTTCTTTTTACTAATAACATCTAAAATAATGGCGTTAATTAAAAATTTTATTAATAATACTATAAGCAAGTTTAATTTTGTATTAAAAAGAGTATTCTTATGATCCAGTTAAATATTATCTAAATGAGGGATTAATTACGTCTATTGGATCTTGCATGGGATGAACTCTATGATTAATAGTGGCTTCTGCGTAACTGAGTATCACGTTACTTTTGATTCCACCAATGAAACTCGTGACAACTGCTGAAGTTTTAGTAAATGATTTCACTAAATCATTGTCCAATGTTATACTTTATTATTTTTTTCAGTAAAAATGATAATAGTGACAATTTTTGGTTAATTTTGTTACCACAAACATTAAATGGTTTTACTATTCATTTATACAACAAAACAATTTTGATAATTTCAGAGAGTTTTACATATACTCAAACAACTACTTATGATCTATTTCATGATGTCAGACACATGTCTAAGATGAGCACACTGTCTAATTTTGCAACTATAATTGTAAAAAAAATAAAAAATAAAATTTACGTGACAAATTATTCCTAAATAAAGCCACATTTTCAAGGTATATTTTATAGGGTTGAGGGTATAAATGAGCTATGCGTTTCAAAGTTTCAAAGTCTGGTGTTCCAGGGTGACCAAGAAAAGACGGAAATTCTTTCGATCGAACTTTCGTCACAGCACTCGATAATATCGATATGGCGTTTTCTTTCCCGGAAAGACTGGAGTGGCCTCCTATTGCTTCCACGCTTATATTGACATTCATTACATACTTTTCTGATACGCACACGCTAATGACAATTACGAAATATATATATATGTATGCTAAAATTTTATAATAAGTTGTACTTACGGAGCTACGTCCTCTGTCTCTATCAAATAAGCAACAAATAGTATCTTACCTATAGGCTTTCCCCCTTTATGTGGGTATGAATATGTGTTCCCTAATAGTAAGGCTATTTTTCTAGCTCCATTCATTCCCCCAACTTCCTCGTCGTGTCCAAAGCTCAAGATCAGCCTTTGGCGTAAGGTCTCAGCCCTTGACCTATAATATGTTCGATAGCCTCCATAATTAACATTATGATGTATTTCGAATCAGCGGTTCCCCTCCCGTATACATAATAATCCTTATTATCTGGATCATCTGCAGAAAATTTCTTGGAACAATTTTTAGTCTTTGGGTCATAAAGTATCTGTATTACAATATCAAATTTATTCCATAATTATATTTCTATCTACTATGTTTTATAATATATAAAATATTTAGTCATATCTCAATTAGAGATTCTTTTAAAATACAAATTATGTATATTTTTTTAAATTGGTAGCAAAAGATATACTATGACATTCCAGAAATTCACAAGTGTTTTAAAAAGTGACATCATGTCACTATTTAAAAATAAAAAACTATATTAAGTTATAACTCGTAACAATTTTTTTTTACATACCTCGTATAGATTTTTGGGCTTGTATACAATTTGCCCACTAAACGGAGTGACATTCCACCTATGAGACTCGGTGGGGGGAACGATATCCTGGTGGGCTTGTAATATCCATGGTTTATTAGTAAATTCGTCATCATCCTCTATTAATGGCATTATGGTGTATACTAGGCTCAGGTTGCTCACCATCTGTCTCTCTATCCAAGGTGTTGAGTGAATCAATGGATAAGCTATATTGGAAAAACACAAATTTTTTACATTTAAAGTTTACAAAAAAAAAAATTTGCAATGTGTGACCAACGCAAGGGTGGCCATTAGCTTATAACTTCTTAACACAACGTCTACATGAGCGGGAGGGGTAGGAACAGTTTGCATCTTATTTTTTTGAGGGGGTAGGAGGTAAGCTGCTTTATTGGGGGTAGGATAAATTTTTTGGAGGATTATCTATTAAATTTTGAGATGAAATAGGACAAAATTTATTGCTGTAAAAATTATACTTTTATTATAGTATTACTATAATACAATTCATCGACCAAATCTATATATTGTAAACAATCATACACATTTCCCAAATAAGCTATCCTACATTTAAAAGGTTTAGATATTTTAGCAAGCTCATAATGCCATAATAACTAATTCATTGTAAATAATGAAGGTTTTGATTGAATTTATTATCTAAAAAATAAATTATTTATAATCACAAGATATAGATAGTTGGTATTAGATATAGATTAATTTAAGTTATCCTTAATAAATTCTTTGAAAAGAGTATCAATAAATAAATAGGTAAAAATAATGATATTTTTTAGGGGGGTAGGCAAAGATTTTTGAAGGGGGTTCGCATCCAGTGAAAATCCTGTCATGTAGACGATGTGTTAGCATTACAGAATTTTAAACGATCTCCATGACTATATGAGGTGGACTTATTCAAAGGTTTTTAAAAATTATAGTATATTAATTTAATTAAGAATATTTATTTTTGATACCTGATTCCAAAAATTTTCTAAATTTGAGCAATTCAGCCACATTTGCTTCTCCCCATTTTATCGATACCCTTTCGAAAGTGATAGCTTTGGAAAACTTTTTTATAGCGGCATCCAATTCAATTTCTTTAAATGATTCATTTAAATTACAAAAAAAATAAAATTTATTATTTATTTCATTTTTTTTCCATTTAAATTAATAACCTAATGGTTTTGCTGAATTTTCTTCATCCTTTTTGCCAAAGAAATTCTGCCCATTCGAAATACTGCACAGCAGGAATGAGGCAATTAACAATAACAAATTTTTCATCAAGCAAGTTATCTATTCTATTTATTTTGTATAAGAAAAATAATCTCTTATACGTTTAAAATAATAATAAAAATCGAAAATCACTGAATAAAAATATTATGCTAATATATTATATATTAAAGGTATGGAAAAAAATTAATCTAGAAATAAATGACAAAAAAAAATATAAAATGATATAAATTTAAAGGTTTGTAGATAGTAAAAAACCTGGATTTTAAACGCCTTTTAAAATACCGGATATATTAATATTTTAGCTAAAAAAAATGTTACCCAAACCTGGAGACTCTACATATAGATCAACAAAAAGTTTAAGCCTCTATTGACCATATTTGGCGGCCTAAATAACATCTTTTTGGCTAAAATCTTAATTTAACCCTTGTGAAAATGCTTCTACAATTGATGTCCACGGCAACGCTTAATAATTTTTTTTTTTAGAAATGATTTATTCTGAAATAACTGCCATATTTAACAGAAATATATGGAATTTAAATCATATCTCTAGAAAGATTTTTAAGTGTAAAAAAAAATATGATTTTATCAGAAAATATTTTCTAAGAAACATATGTGTATAAGTAGTATTTTCAAGTTCATCTTTGAGATACCTAATGAGATGGGTCCTCAAAACTTTGTTCCAAATAATCAAATTATGTCTTTAATACAAAATATATAATTTTAAATACCTTTTGGATACCTCAGTAATATAATTTATGTGATAGTGATTATGAATAATAGTAAACAATAATATATATTTTTTAAAATGTTTAGGATCTTTTATATAATTTTTAATTGGTAATCAAGATAAATTGATGGGTATTATTATTTAAATTTTTTTTAAAATATAGCTTTGAACCTAAATATAAATATATTATTTGTTAAAATTTTTAAAATGAACTTATTTATGTTTAAACTTCATTATTTTATAGCCAGTTCATTTCAAAAGTACACATTGAAATATTAATAACAACTTGAAGTTGGTTCAACTCATAAACCTGCAAGGTATTACAGATTGATATTAATAATATTTTTGCGGGTTTAATTAATTATTCGTTTTAACAGTAAGGAAGACCAGAGCTTTTATTAATCGTTATGGCTCCGTAAATAATGATCATATCAGATTGCAAAATACCAAATAATCCCTATATATTTTAGACTTAATTGTTTTAAAATGTTTTTTTTGAACCTATAAACGCCGACCCCATAAGTTAGCCGGATCTTCGATAAGGCTATTCTAATCAAGCTTAGAGACCTTCATGGTCCGGGCCGGGCTTGGGCCTAATTATAAATTTTCTAGCGGGCCTGGGCCGGGCTTGGGTTCGTTGAAAATTTTTGCAATAGGCTTGGGCCTAAATTTTTAAATTCAAATTTAGCTTATTTTAAACAAATATAACAAATCATTCTGATTTTATTAGTGTTATTTATCAAATTTCCTATACACCTTGGGAGAGTATATATTTTTTAAATCGGAAATTGGTATAATTTTACTTATTTTAACACAACGGCCTGAGCACGAAATAGTGAAAAAAGAAACAGCGAAAATCAGGGAATATTCCCAAAAATGTTCCCAAAGATGGCCAACATTTTCAATATGACATATATTTTCCCAAGTTAGCGTCTGGATGAAGTGCTTGTGCATGTTCCTATTCCTACTTCGAGGATTACTAGAGCTACCAGTAATTTATTATTTATAAATCTTTTTAGCTATATAATATTTTTAGCTTCGTCCTCATTATTGGATATGTCTTCGTGGGAGGATGACACAATACTTCATAATGAGACGGATGCTGCTGATGAGATTAATTTATATATGGATATTCAGCTAAATGAAGAGGATATCAACTATGATGACTGCATCCTAGATTGGTGGAAGAAGCATGCATCTAATGTTTCCAGTGAACGGAATTTCAGTACTATTGGAAGGGTTATTGAAGAAAGAAGAACAAATTTAAATAACGAGTAAAATATTATTTTTAAATGATAATTTGAAAATATAAATTAAAATTTTGTTTATATCATTTATTAATATTATATATATATATTATTACTAAATAAAATATTATATTTCTATTAGTATTACTTTAGCATAAGTTAAGTATACATAAAATAATTTTATGGGCTTGGGCCGGGCTTGGGAAATTTTTTAAATATTATAGCGGGCTTGGGCCGGGCTTGGGAATTTTTTTAAATATTAAAAACGGGCCTGGCCGGGCCGGGCCTGGGCTTAAAATTTTTTTTACGATGGGCCTGGGCCGGGTTTGGTCCTAAAAAGGCCCATGAAGTTCTCTAATCAAGCTACCGTTTTTAATTATATAACTTATAATGCCTCAATATAATATTATATTTAGAGTTATAAACAAACAAAATAGGAATCTTTTTTTGAACCATTAAACTCATATTGCCCAATCTTTCCACACCCTGCATTGAAAATCAATCTTCAAAATAAGGAATATTTTAATAATTTGTTTACATATAATACACAACATCTTTTATTACTCACTTATTTTATCAATTTTTTATTCTTATTGTTCTAGAGACTTCATGGGCCTAGATTTTAGGACCATGCCCGGCCCAGGCCCATGGTAAAAAAAAATTTTAAGCCCAGGCCCGGCCCGTTTTTAATCTTTAAAAAATTCCCAAGCCCGGCCCAGGCCCGCTATAATATTTAAAAAATTTCCCAAGCCCGGCCCAAGCCCATAAAATTATTTTATGTATACTTAACTTATGTTGAAGTAATACTAATAGAAATATAATATTTTATTTAGTAATAATATATATATATATATATAATAACTATAAATGATATAAACAAAATTTTAATTTATATTTTCAAATTATCATTAAAAAATAATATATTATCTACAATTTCGTTATTTAAATTCGTTCTTCTTTCTTCAATAACCCTTCCAATGGTACTGAAATCCCGTTCACTCGAAACATTAGATGCTGGAATCGCATGAATTTTTTTGGCTAATCTTGCCAATTTTGGCAAGATTTTTTCATGTTTCTTCCACCAATCTAGGATACAGTCATCATAGTTGATATCCTCTTCATTTAGCTGAATATCCATATATAAATTAATCTCATCAGCATCCGTCTTATATGAAGTATTGTGTCATCCTCCCACGAAGACATATCCAATAATGAGGATGAAGCTAAAAATATTATATAGCTAAAAAGATTTATAAATAATAAATTACTGGTAGCCCTAGTAATCCTCGAAGTAGGAATAGGAACATGCACATGCACTTCATCGAGATCTGAAGTATCTAAAAATATTATATAGATAAAAATATTTATAAAATATATGTTACTTGAAGCTCTAGGGATATTTGCTTCATCAAGATCATATATAGGAATTGGATGATGATCTGAATAATCAATCATTAAGGCCCTTGTACTATTTTTTACTTCAAGTGCTTCTTCCAAAGTAAGCATTTTTAACTGGCGGAATTTAGGATTTAAAAATGTAGCGATTTTGTGTAAAATATCTATTTGGAATTTTGATATTAAAAATTCCTTAGCTCTTAATTTTAACTTTCTAATTTCACTATTGAATTGATACGCTTCGTATAAAATATCAGACACTGGTAACTTTGCCAATGTTTTATAAATTAATAAAACTTTAAATAATGTAGGACTTCTATCTCCCTCCAGCTCCTTGGTTGCCTGATTATATGGGGTCAACATGTCTATTAATGATTTCAACCCATTTTTATCAATAGAATTAAGCTTATCCTCCATATTTCTTTTCTGTAAACAATCTAAACTCTTATTTAATCCACTTTGCTTAAAAAATCTTGTTAGTGATTTACATTGAAGAATAAGGTTATATAATAAGGGTGTAGATATTTGCATATATTTTGGAGAAAAAGTATTTCTTAGAATAGTGTTAATGAGATGAGCAGAATAGTTTAACCGTTTATATGGTTCTAAAGCCTTTATCATGTTGCTACCTTGATCAGTGATTAGTGATTTTATAAAATGCATCAGAAGCATATCCAAGTTTAGCAAAATTAGAAACAAGTTCTTTGTGTATATTTTCACTTGTTTTTTTATCTTTTAAAAAAAGAGAAGTAAACAAAACACGTTTTATTAATTTCCATTTAATTATGTAGTGAAGAGTTAATGTAATATATATGTACTTTTTGAAGTCATCTATGTATAAATCAGTTGTTGCACTACAAAAAGAATTTATTAAAGCATTTTGTACTTCTGGGAATATTTTTTTTGTGCAAATTTTGAGAAATATCATTCATATGCATTGATATAGTTATAGGACTTGGCAGAATATTTTCAACATCAATCAAACCCTTCTTTGAACCAACTTCAATAAAATATTGTGCTAAATATTTAAAGCCTTTACCAGCTATACATTGAAATGGGCGAATATCTACAGCACAAAACTTTACACATCTATTGATAACTTCCTTTTTTTCATTTGTATATGATGTTTTATCATTTTTAATTGGATAAAAAGAAGATAATTTAATTATAGGATTTGGTTTACATTTATGTCTTGATAAATGGGATGATCCTACTTTATTTGAATATGAAAGTATGTCTTGGCATCTTTTACATTGGACATATCCCATTTTATTATTATTATTGTCTATTATTATACTAAAAGAATCCCAGACCTTGCTCTTCAATGAGTTGTTTGCTAATAATTTGTATTCTTGAGAATGTAATTTTTTAACTATTTCTTGATTTTTATTCATTTATCTAAAAAAAAATTCAAAATACTACAATTTATTACAAAGGAGAAATACCCATCCCATATATAAAAAAAACATAAAAAAATAAATTAGTTCAGAAAAAAGAGTATGTTATGTTACATATTAACAGCTTTTTTAGCCTTCAATCTCATTAGTGTAATACACAAAGGAATATATAGAAAACCATCTAAAAAGTAATTTGTACTATTATATTAAAGGTCAAATCTGTTTGTCATTTAAAATGAATTTATTCATTCATTATATAATACCCATACCATATATATTAAAAACATTTTTAAAAAAATTAGTTCAGAAAAAAGAATATGTTATGTTACATATTAACAGCTTTCTTAGCCTTCAATCTCATTTACACAAAGGAATATATAGAAAACCATCTAAAAAGTAAGTTGTACTATTATATTAAAGGTCAAATCTGTTTGTCATTCAAAATAAATCTATTCATTCATTATATAATACCCATACCATATATATAAAAAACATAAAAAAATAAAATAGTTCAGAAAAAAGAGTATGTTATGTTAAATATTAACAGCTTTCTTAGCCTTCAATCTCATTAGTGTAATACACAAAGGAATATATAGAAAACCATCTAAAAAGTAAGTTGAACTAATCAAATCTGTTTGTCAATCATAATGAATCTATTCATTCTATAAAAATTAAAATTATTAAATTTCAATAATTTATCTACCAAAGGTTATATATTTATGCATTTTATTTCATAACCATGATGTATCACAACATAATTAATATTGTTAATAAAATAGGATCTATTCAACTATAATTTTCCTTAAAATATAAATAATATTTATTACCTATAGTAGCTATACACTCTAAACCAGTTGTGTTAAGTTAAGATACCAATTTCCGATTTAAAAAATATATGCTCTCCCAAGGTGTATAGGAATAGGAAATCTGATAAATAACACTAATAAAATCAGTTGTTATATTTGTCCTATTAAATATCCTTAAAATAAGCTAAATTTAAATTTAGGCCCAGGCCCGGCCCAAGCCTTATTGCAAAAATTTCCAACGAACCCAAGCCAGGCCCAGGCCCATTAGAAAATTTATAATTAGGCCCAAACCCGGCCCATGAAAGTCTCTATATTGTTCTAATAGAATCTGCTTCTTGTATGGTGGATGAGGTAAAAATATCTTCTTTTTTTCCCTGTTCCCTTTGCGAATCCCTAGATGAGTTAGGACCTGGATAAATGAACCTGGGAGATACATGTTTAAAGGAGTAAGAACATCATTAATTGAGGTGTTAATTAAAAGAACCAAATGAGGGGCTAGTGACAGAAAGAAAAGTGCTGGGAGGAGAATTAAATTGATGAACTAGGAATAGACATAATTGCAGGAGGATATTCAGGACTTTCTAGTAATAGTTATAAAATCTTCTTCTCGAAATATATTTATTTTCATAAGGGTATATCCCGCACGATTTGAATGCTTTTTGAATATTTTAAGAGTGCCAAAGGGTAAAATATCCTTTCAAATCTAATATCATAAAGGGAAAAAAGATCCCTCTGTAATTGGCGCGAATCTATTCTGTTGTTATGAAAACAATTTAAAAAATCATATTAAAGTCCTGTAAAGGTTGTAACTTATCAGTATAATGTGGATGAAGAGACGAAAGTATAATACTTATCTAAACTCTATATTAGAGTAAAATTTTAATTTCTAACCGTTACTGGTCTTAAAAATAAAATCCATAAACTGACAAACCTCTTGCGCCGACTAGCCTGGGTCTCTACTACAAATTATTAGAAATACTAACAACCTATTAAGTAATATTCAACTTATAACCAGTAAAGTATCAAAAGTGATATACTGGTTTTTTGAAATGAGGCTTATCCGGGATAACATAGATATTTTATATATTACTATATATTCACCATTTATATACTAATGAAACTAATACGTTATATGGATTGCCGAATAAGTGAGAAAAATCTGACAAGAGAAATAAATATCTTAGCGAATTCATTAAAAATATGCATTGTAAAATCATTATACAAATTACAAATTAATGTTTTAATATAATAGTGATCTCATTGTAGTGAAGATTCAACTGCTTCTTTGTAATAAAAGTCTCCCCTTAAAGGTAAATTAAAAAAATTGGAAAACGAATAATGAAAAATTTTATTTATAAAACCAAATCAACTCTTTTCTATATCTACTTAGTAATAAATATCTACTCTTTTTATCCAGCAACTAAAATCTTTAAAATAATAGCATTTATTCATGCATATTTTCTTGATCTTTAGCAACACAATTAATCGTTATGTTAGAAAAAAATTGGTTAAAAATTTTATATATAGAATTTTATATTATACAAACTTTACCAATTAATTAATTTTATTCAAACCTTTATTTTTGTATAAATTAGTACATATTTTAAAATAATTTTACCATATTTTTATATGCAGTTTACGAACCTTTTATATATGATAAACTAAGCAGTTTTAAATTATAAGAGTTTACGATATACTAGGGTATGTTTAAGCAAAGTTTATATCTGAACTTTTAATAAATATTAGTTAAATTTCTAGGTTCATATCTTCACTCATTAGAATTACGATCAATTTTAGCATCATAATAAAAAATATTGATAATATAACAGGTATCTTGTGATTATATTTTCAAAATATTAGACTAAATACAATATGAAAAATGTAAATTATCCAATTTCTTTAGGGAATTAATGTGTCATTCAGTATTTAAACATTTGTAATGTGATATATAGCATTTGTAATGTGATATATAGCATTTGTTAAAGTATATGCGCCATTTATATATGAAAAAGCGAGCAATGATGTCATACTCATTAAGTCCGAGAAAGTAAAGACTAATCTACGTAGTATGGTAGCAATTAGTTTTGTTAGAAAGCCCGATTTGGATCAATTATTTAAAAGGATCTGATTAAGATATTAGCTAAAACAATAGTATGTAATCTTTGATAATTAGCAAATAGATTTCTAAAACCTTTTTACCATCTATGAGTATAATTTCCAGGCTTATATAATATCTGGCTAAATTTTTTTTGAAAACTATGATAGCAAGATATAGCAATAGTATATAATCTAGGGTTCGCCATCGGGAATATCTTCCAAAGTCTTCTTTTATATGTTTTGTTTTGCTATAATGAAGTGAGCAATTCTATTTGAATAGAGGTCAAGATTCGCCGCTACAAATAGGTGACTCCTAAGTATATAAAAATAGTGGACAGTGAGGTTATCATGTCTTCCAAAGTCTTCTTTTCTGCGCCAATATTTCATGACAATGGCTGCAATTTTTCAGGGTTTGTAAGGAGTATATTATAGGGATGATGTGTTGATAACGGGGCACGGCGGAGCAGCACAATCGAAGGCTGGAAGAGGTATTTCAGAGAATCCGAGAGAAGGGATTGCGAGCGAGTAGAGAGAAAAGTATACTGGGAGTAATGGAAGTTGTGTATTTAGGGGCATCGAATAAATGGAGTGGAGGTGTGGCCGTTGGACAAAAATATGGTAAAGCCGCGATGTAAGGCGTACCGTCCTTTGTAGGGATGGTAAGTTATTATCATCGGTTTGTTGAGAAGGGCGAGATGTCTTTTCCCGCTTTTTTTTAAAATTAAAGGGGTGTGTCTTAACCAAGAATATAAAATTTTAATTTCCAAAACTGGAAAATCAAATCTATTCTTGCTATAAAAAATTTTAAAAAAATCATAATAAAGTTTTATAATTATTTAAAATATTTAAAAGTAGATTATTATTTTTAAAACAAAATAATCATTAACAAAAAAAGAGATATAAATTAATTTAAACAAAGAATAATTAAAAATTAAACAAAATAATTATTTGAACAGTTTTGCTTGACATGAAATGGACATTAATCTTATTTACTTTAGGCAGTCTAAAAATTGTTTGGCAGTATTTTAAATTTTTGACATCTGATTAATTCATTTTCAAGTTTTTTTTTATAGACTTGGGAATTATTAAAAATAAATAGACAGTATAACAAAAATTTTGATTGAGCTTTAAATTTTTGTCAAGTTATTAAATATTTTATGTACTACAAAATAATTCACTTTCAAAATAATCAACGTATTTCTAAAACATAGCATATTAATAAATTTACATAATAAAATATTATTACACTGGAAAATAATTTATGATATCAATCTCTAAATAAAATTGAAGTCCAGGAAGAAAATTGAAAGAAAAACGCGAAGATAAAATAAATAATTCCACAAAAAAAGTTATTATAATTTTAAAAAATTTATATTGTTTTTTAAAAAAATATTTTTATTTTTTTAAATTTTTATGACACCTAGAACTCTTGGACCCTCCACTTTTAAAAAGGGTCCGGGTTCAGGTTCAGCCAAAATAGGAGGGTTTAGGGTTCGGTTCACATCCTTGATAGAAATTAATAATTATAATTTATTTAATTTAATAAAATTACATTCAAAATAATTAGAATAAGTAAATAGAAATCGATAATATTTATTTTTATATTTTAAAAAATTATTAATCATATTTTAGACAAGGTTATGGTTAGGTTAGGGTTAAGGTGGGTAACCGAATATCAATATTATTACCTTCATTAATGTTTTTTGGTGAGTAATTCCCAAGGTCTAGTGTTTTAAAATTATTTTACATTATTAATTATAAGAAAAACAATATATATTCATTGTGGTATATAAAATTAAGTTTTCTGTACTAAATATTTTGAATATAATTTATGCATTAAAAGATTTAAAGATTTATTCAGTGGCCCCTGCACTTTCTGAATGGAAGCAGAATACCTCACTGAAAACACCCTCACACCAAAAAAACAGTGAATTATTCTTTGACACACTTTCGGCAGTACTCGAGGTAGTAGGAATAGTTAATAAATATTTCTATAAATTAAAAAATTAAGGAAAACAGAAAAATTAGAGTATTTTTTGCTGAAAGATGAGTAGCGTTGTGGCTACGATAAATACGCATAAATATCGGAAGTATCCATTTGTTTTTATAAAAGTTAGTGATTCTTAAGATAATTGATTCATGTTCATTTCCCTAGGAACGCATCTTGATCTGAATTTGGAATTTTTGTAATAAGATGGCCAAAAGTGGGAAAAGTTCTAATATTAAGAGTAACTATGAAATGGCCCCATAAACGCAAATTGCCTGAACTTTTCCATATGATTATTATAGAATTTCCCAAATTATTGGCTTGGTACATATAACGTGTACAACATATATAACTCTCAAAAAATTAACTCATGAAAGGGGAAAAAAACCTACAAAAAAGGCGCAAGAAAAGAACACCCCTACTTAAAATATATTCATTTTATTTTTTATTGTTAATTCTTAATATATTAGGAAATATATTAGAAATGAGAGATACATTAGTTTTTTGCTCCAAGTTCGCCCGTGGCCCAATAGAAATTTTTTACCTAGGTCAAACCGGTGGTCAGATGCGGCTAGCGACTGAATTTTTAAAAGTTTATAGGAAGGAAATCTTTAACTCAAATATTTATTTTATTCTATATTTTAATGTCATGCATTTAAATTTAAATATTCAGCAATAAACTGTGGTAATTTAATGATGCTTAAATATTATAAAACATATGATATAAAAATTAAGGTAGATATTCCATACCTTCTGATATTTTTTAAAAAAAATTTCGCATAATTTTTAAATTCACATTATAATTGTGATATTCAAGCAGGCAAAAAAGAAAGAATAGGAAGTAAATATAGCGTTAACTTTGGGCTATAACCTGGCCTATATTTTATTGATGATAATCAGGCCAGTTCTGCAGGACTTCTTAGAAACATCGCTTCTGATTCATTTTGCTTAAAAAAAAGATATTTAGGTTATTAAGTTTACATTTATTTTGAATTAATTATCAAAAAACAAGTCTAATAGTTGACCTAGATGGGGAAGAGGGGTAAAATGATAACTATTTCTAATTTTTGTCATAAAAATTAAAAACCAAAGCAAAACAGAACAGAAACACATATATATAGTAATGTCTCGCCATATTTTTCTATACAATAATAAAATAAAGTTCTATCCAATATTTTAGAAAATATTTTTTAATTATGTGGAATGTGGCTTTCAAATTATTGTTTTATAGAACAATATGCTATAATTCTAATATATTTTTCAATTATAAACTAATTAACACAATAAGAATTTAGAAAAATTATTAAAATTAACATATTTGGTATCTATCCGTTTTTAGAATATCGTAATTATTCTTCAATTTTGCTTTTATTTTATGTTATCACACATAACCTCAACTTTTTATTAATATTCCTTGCTCAATAATTCCATTTCATATGATAAAACGTAAATCTTAGTAATTAAACTATAAAAATAAAAATCTAATAATATCGATTTTATAGATAAAAATTTAAGGGACATATGAAATTTCAAATTGTTAAGATAAATATTGTTGAAAGCAATAAATTCTATAAAATTTATGATCTTTAAAAAAAAGTATAAGGAAGACTGATACAAGAAATGTAATTCAAATTATGTTTGTATCACCATCAGAAAGTAATTCTGAAATTTTATAAATCATCCATTAATATATTCTTGGATAAATTATATATCTCATAATGTAAATTTATTGAATAACATCTAACATTAATTTTATTATATAATAATAATTATATTATAAATGAAACGAGTTCCAATACAAAATATGACCATATATAATTTCGGAGAGTGGGTAAATACATGTTACAAAAAATATTTTTCAGTTTTATAAAATTGAAATCAATTTTCATTTCTATTTTTTCAGTGAATTTGGGTTCAATAACATTGACTCCTAAATTGCGATCTCCAATGTGTTCTGAAGGAACTTTCCATAATTTCTGACAAATGCCATGACATAGCTTTTTTACAGCAAATAGTTCCTCAAAAGCTAGGTCATAGTTCATATTCATCCTAAATATTATTCCTTAATAAATAAACAAAAATATTTATTCCATGCATTTGATTACAAATATTTTTGAAAATATTAATTTTATTATAAATATTAAATAATATATTTACTTACCTTTTATCTTGCCTTTTCCGTCAACTGTGCCATATGATAAATGGATATCAAATAATGCGAGTGAAGTGAATTTTGAAAAATTTTGTTGTTGTTTTGGGATTTTAAACATCGGAAGTTTCAAATACATTTCTACAGTCGAATTTGTGTTTAGACATTTGTCAGCGACTTTATAAATTAAGAATCTATATTTTTTTGGCTTGATAGAGAATTGCGTAGTATCTTTGATACATGCTAAATTTCTATTGTCATCAATTGTACCAGTCGCGTTGAAAGAATCTGATTTAAATCCAAAGTTGGAGAAGGAAAACGATATTTCGTCCCAAATTCCACTGTCGTCGTTTTCCCCTATTTTTTCATTAAATTTGTCACTAAATACCTGAGCATTTATAGTTAAATATTTGAATTCCATAGACATTTCTGAGTCAATAAATAAAGAATTTTAATTATTTAAGATGATTTTAAAAAAATATACATTTAAAAATTCTTTATGCAAAATGTTTTTTATATAGACTGTTAAATTCAAATTATTAGTGTCTATCTACAACTAGTTTTTGCAAGATATAATAATTATAAATTTCCATCTTATCCCCATTATCTATCACCTTTAAAATATAATTTGTGAAAAATTTTAATCGATTCCATTAAAAATAGACAATAGAAACTTTTTTTTAAATGTATTTTACAAACTATTACTGGATATTTTTTTTAACCGTGTTTAACAATGTTCATAGTTACATAATGTTAGAAAAGAGAAAAAATTAAAATAGAAATATAGTATAAATAAGTAATAAAAATTAAACTTTTCCTTTTATACATACAATATGATGACACTAAACTAGTATAATAATACGATAAAATTGTATATATTCAACATTAGGTGTACTATGGTGGTTTTTTAAATTTTGATAAGTATTTTCTTAAAGGATTTTGATAGGAGGGGAACGGGCAATAGGAGGAGACATCATGGAAATATAGTATATAATTCTAAACAAAAACTCTTCTAATTCCGCTCAATCTATTTCTTCAATGAGATAATTTTCAATAATAAAAAAAACTAGAGGTTGATGGAGTTTATAAAAGACTATGTTTAGCCGGCTGGCTAAAATACACTAATTATAACTATAATGGGAAATGTAGTAAATATATAACATAATACATGTTGAGGCCAAATTTTTATGCTGGCACGGATATTTTTTGTATTTATAATTTTGAACGAATTTCATAAATTGTTGATTCAAAAAAGAAATTGTAAATTTGAATAGAAAATGAATTTTAAATGCATTATATCATTTTTTGAACTAGTAATTGATATAATTATAATCTTTTTAAATAATCCTACCCTTGTTTATTTTTAAGTTTCACCACAGTTTTTCTAAACCATATCATTCTATGACCTTTTCCTGCTCTCTAGAATTCTACTCGCAGTAACATCCCTGGATTATTCGTTATTAGATATTTTTAAAAAACAAAATAAAAATAACCATGGGATAATTAAAAATACCTAATTACACTTTTTCATGGGCCATTAAATTTTTATTTTAAAACTATTAATTTTATTATACATACATATACACCCTTGGTACATTATGCATGGCCCCACTTTTTCGAGGTGGAGAAAATGTATTTATTGATTAAAAATATCTAAATATTCAGAATACATTTTGAGATATTAGTCGATCATTTATATCCATTTTTTATTTTTATAAAATGCGTATAAATGTATACATTAGTATTGTTAATGTAGCGCCGATCATTTTAAGTAGCGGTAGCTTTAACGCCCTGTTTAAAAATAAATAGCGATAGCTTGTTTCTAAAATTTAAATACACATAAATTGTTAAAATATATTTATAATTAATTCTAAAATCATAATCTTTTTATTAAATTTAATTTTGAAATTTATATTTATATTTAAAAATCTGTATTATAAATCTAGTTTCCAAATAAATTAAATTTTGGTGCATATCATATCGACAAAGTAATATCCCTGAAAAATAAGGTTAATATGGAATTTCCTTTCCTGAATTGGCAAAATATTTTACTCGATAAAAGAATTACAGATTATAAATTTGATTGTAAGATATGTCGGAAGGTTTTATTAAAAACAAGACTAGTAGCAACGAGGAAATATTTTAAAATAATATATCAAACAATACTGTCAATGTGTAGTACAATCCTTAATCTTTAAAATAAAATTTGAATCAAAGCTGTATCTATAATAGTTTATGAGCTAGATGAGTTTATGTGAAAATAGATTTTCTGGCAAAATCCAAACAGTGTTTCAATTGGCTATAAGATATTATTCAAGAATTATATTATAAATTAAAAATTACAATAAATAATATAACTTAACATTTCGTTTTATCAGACTCATCTATTTATTGATAATATTTTATAAATTATTATCTGGATATTTAACATGCTTAAAATTAACCAACCTATTTATATATTTAAAAATTTTATCAAAACATGTTGAAAAATACATATTTCAATCCTTTCATGGTTTAATGATAAAAAAATTAAAGGGCACCCTGGCAAGTTGGCAAACATGGCCATCCACTTATAACCTACATAATTTTTATTCTAATTATTATTATTACAACTTTAGACTGACCCTAGCCAGATAATAAACGTTATCTAAAATGGAAGATTTTTTTGAAATAAATGACAATATGATTTAAAAATCCTATAGATGCAATTTTTATAAATCTAAAAATACTCAAATAAATATTTTTGCTGATTTTTCTTATATAAAATATATAGATTAAATTTAGTACTGCATTGCGTGCTAGTATTGAACTATTTATGTTTGTTGCAGGCCTGAACCTAAATTTTTTTAAAATAAATTACCGGCCCGGCCCGAATTTATTTAAATATAGAAATTAATTTTTATAATTAATCAAAATAAAATATATATGTTATATAGTGTCTAGTTTCTATAAATAAAATCAAATATGTTTATTTTACATAAAAAATTTAACATAAAATTGATAAATTTAGATATATTTTAAAAAAATTCGGCCTCACCAGGCCCGATTTTTTAAAAAAATAGGGCCGGGTACAGGCTGGGTCGTTTTTTGCCTAATTACTACATCTTATTACATATATATTCCATATATAATTTTACATTTATTTATCACATTCATAAGAAATAATTAAGATAACATCGATTTCAAATTTTATTTGGTTTATCTACCATTTGAAACTTTTTAACTGTAAAACTAAAGTAAAATA